TATAGAATTACCTTGTAGCAACCAAAGGTTCATCTGAATGATATATAATGTACTGATTCAAGCTTGCTGGGCATGCCATTCTTGTTGAATGCTCTTTTTTTACTCGGAAAATTTTAATCTAATGTACTGGTTTTGTGGAGCAGCAAACACTACATAATCTTTTGTGTGAAATACATTGTACGATTGTTAGGTGTAGTTGGTTTGATTTTTCAATTCGGGTTACTGTGCAATAGGTTCTCAATTAAGGAATGCCTATTTATTTGGGGCGTGTATATTCTTCATGTGGTTGTCAACTTCGTAAAGTACATGTGTGTTGTGACATAGAAACATTAGTGCACGTGAATAAGGTTTAGTCTTGAAGTTAGGCACCCATTTAATACAGAAGTGTGTGTGAGGGAACAAGTGTACTATTCTGGTGAAGTGGCATTCTAATATGATCCACCACCATAGTGAGTTTTTAAACTTTCGCGTCCTGATCAGTATGATGAGGGTGTGTGCATGAGAATATGTTAGTTGCTTTCATGTGCAGTAAATATAAGAGTCCAAGACACGGTATTTGAACTTTGACATTACAGCATTCTCCTTCTTTCTTGCATCTTCCAACTCTTATGTATCGTTTTATGTTTCCATTTTCACAGGCTGCAAATTACCTGAATATCAAGAGTCTTCTGGATCTAACCTGCCAAACTGTTGCTGATATGATCAAAGGAAAGACCCCCGAGGAGATTCGCAAGACATTCAACATCAAGAATGACTTCACACCTGAAGAGGAAGAAGAAGTCCGGAGAGAAAATCAGTGGGCCTTCGAATAGAACTGTTGTTGAACTGAATTATCTTTTGGTTAAGTTCTTTTAGTGGTGGCTGAAACATTATCCAGACTCCTTTGTGTTGTGTGTTTTGAGGATTGCTTTATGCTGAACTGGTTTTTACCTTCACGGATATTCTGCCCCTCTGTTCATGTGTTTCCTTCTGGAAGGATTATCCACGATGTTGTGAAGAATCATATTACCTATTTAATTGTTGGTGCCCACTGCTTTATTTGCTTTTGCTTCTTTGCCTTTCTACACCGAAAGGTATCGTTCTGGCTTGGTTGGGTATGAAGAGTCTTGTTATACTTATAACACAGACACTGACAAAAAGATCAGAATGTGTGTTCTTATTAGGATTAGTTGTTACCCTCATGGATCTCTTGCAAGTTTGCAACACATACCCTCTTTCTTCCTTTGACATGCACAATAATAAAAACTCAAGTTCTACAATACAATTTTCCCCATTTATAGGTTCGCGACCTCTTGTGGAGGTTATCAACTTATCATTATGCAAGTGATGTGGAGCTCACCAAAATACCTCCGCGAGCAGGGTCACTGACCTCGAGCTCGAGCTGTAGTCTACTAGTGAGCTAGCTACCATGGGCCAACTTTGCCCGAACATTTTGTGCAGCACCTGTTTACTTATCTTTAGAAAACGCCAAGTTTTTAGAATAATTTGAACTTTTCATAAATTTTCTACTTTAAGGAAGGTTATTCATTTGAGATTTCGAGTAACATTTAGTGACTTTTTGAGATTTGAGATTTTTTTAAACTTTCGAATTTAGGAGGATTCCTGTAAAATCTTTAGTCTGGAGGTGAGATTTGAAGTGGGATTTCGTATATATTTTTTTTTTCTAAGAAATTCCATCAAATCTTAAAGTCTTAGCAAATCTCAGTCTCAAATAAGTTAAATAACTCATGATTTTGTAAGACTTTTTAAAAATCTCAAATGATTGCCTCAAGACTTTTAAAAGTTTTGAGAAGTCTAAATAAATCCATTCTAAAGTTTTAAAAAAATCTTTATAAATCCCAATAGAATACAAACTTTCACAGGATTTCACCAAATCTGAAAATTTTAAAGTCTAAAATCTCAAAAGTTCTCAAAATGTCAATCAAAATTCCAAAAAAAAAAACACTCTCCTTAAGTATGAATAAGGTTTTTTTTTTTGTTCTTTTGAAATCTCAGCAAATCTTAAAAAGTCTTAACAAAATCTAGTCTCAACTAAGTTAAATACCTCAGAATTTTTATGACTTTCTAAAATTTCAAATGAATACCTCACACTTTTAGAAGTCTTAAAAGTTTAAATTAAATACACAGAATTTTTAAAGTCTTTACATGTGTCAATACGAAGCACAAATTTATGCCAAATAAACTTCTAAAGCATGCGAGTCTGTCATTTAAATGAGAACAGTCGAGAATTATATATAGAGAGATTTATACACATAGTTATAGTTATAGTGAAACAAGTGTATAGGAAAATTATGTCACTATACTAAAGATAATATTGACAATTTTAGAATCTGAGTAACGAATATAAATTAAATTATGGTTTTTATAGGTCATTAATAAAAATAATGAAAACGAATTATCATCTAAATGTATAATAGATCAAAATTGTCATTTTCCTAAAAGAGCTGGATATGTTTTGCAATTTTACTACACTAGGAAAAGATTTTGAGAAAACAAGATTATCCTATAGAAGAAAAATGTGTACATCAAATTTATTATATTCTCTATCTTATCATCTTTCAGTTATTAACTTATTATCATTATTTGAAAATTATTTTTCATGTTTTAGTACATTTTACACATTTCAGTATGTAATTTTTTTGTTTGATTAATGAAAAATAATCATGCAAAATACTAATATACCATATATAAATATAATAAAAAAATAAAATACCAAAAATATATTAACCATGTATCACGTGCAACACGCGTGTACTCTACTAGTATACGAAAAGAGCAAGTCCACACTGTACATATATTCTTGTCTGAAGCTTCATTCAACACTTTTTATCCAAAAACTAAACAATAACAAGTTAGTATTGATGAACAATCACATATCCGTCGGCTCCGGCGCTAAGACCCTCCGAACGGAAAACACGAAAGCTGGAAAGAATCATTCAGTATTCCATGTGTTGAAATGAAGGAGGGTTAGTACATGTCTTGTGTGCACCTGCATTGCATATTCATACATTTGTGGCTGA